TCCCGGCTAGAGCCACTACTGTCCTAATGATCTTGGAAGATCTTCACGAGCAGCAAGTAAATGTGCCAATGTAATCGTTGTCTTGGGTGACAAAGCATAACGCTTAGGCTGATAAATTCTTGCTATGTCATCTGTTTTCACCTAAATGACAAAAATTAGGGGAAAAGGGGAATCAAAGAACATTTCAATGAAAGAGCAATAGCAATCATAAATATCTGATAATTTATATGTCTAATGAAAAAATGTAAACCAACAGATGCTAAAAGAACACATAACTACCACGATCAACTCATTAAAAACTAACACGTACAAAAAAATACCTAAAAATACCAAAGCCACATATAGGACCTTTCAGACAAAAAACAGTAAATCTTATGAAAACTTGAAAAAATTGGAGAGAAATACCAATTTTCTGAATGAGGACACTGAATATTATGTGTTTTCCCCAAAATTAATAATAGATTTACTGCAATCCTGTTAGAATGGTTTTTGAAAGGATAAGAAGGAAAAAAAGGAATCTAAAGATAATCCAGAAACTAAATATTTAAGAATGACAAAAACAATTTTGCAAGAGTTCTATCAGATATTAATATGCAATATGAAATTATCATTGTCTTAGCTGCTCCCATTCATTGAGTACTTATTAAGTGTGCCAGGATACTATTCACTTAATAGTCATTTTTTAATTCTCAAAATAGAATGGTTGTATTTATTGCCCCTTTTTGTATCTGGAAAAAAATGAGGCTTACAAAGCTTAAACAACTTCCCCAAAATACAGAGAGAATCCCAGTTTTGCCCACTTACTAATAAAGATCTACTTCACCCCCAATACAGTATACTATCCTACCTCAGTCAAATTACATGAAACTTGGGGAGAAAAAAAAGAGATTGATGAAGCAAAATAGGCAATTGAGTCCCATACATGTATGAATGCAATAAATAATAATCAAAGAACAGTGAGAAAAGAGATGGATAATTCTAAAATGGTGCTGGAATAAACTGTTGGCTATTCATTAAAGTAATAATAATAAGGTATACCATATTAAAATTCCAAATACATTGTTTAGTGTTTTATCTTAAATTGAAAAAATATATTAAGCTTAAAATTTCTATACATTAAAAAACATAAAACAAAATCAAAAGACAATGGGGAAAATATTTTCAACAAATAAAGCAACTAGCTAACTTCCTTAATATAAAAAAGCTCAATCAAAAGGAAAACAGGAAGATCCTAAGGGGGGAAAAAAAGACACAAATAGAACTTTCAAAAAAAGAGGAAAATTGAAATGACTAAGATGCTTATGAAAAAGAAGTTAAAAATTTCCCAACAATAAAAACATACAAATTAGGAGAAATTAGTCTTTTATAACAATCAAGTTAACAATAAAATTGGTAATATTCTAAATATTAAAGAGGCTAAATTGAAGACAAAATTTCATTTATCTTACTGATAAGAGTTTAAATTCATACCAACTTTCTAATAAACAATTTTGCTATGTGAATCAAGAGCATTATGTGTCAATAACCTCTGACACAGTAACTTTCCATTTAGGAATCCACCATAAGAATATTACTTTGAAATTTATAAATATATAATAAAAGCCTAATATGCAAATTGTTTGACCAGGAGTTCGACCGCTCACTATGATGTGCGCTGACCACCAGGGGGCGGGGCAGAACATGGTGGGCATGGGCGACATGGCACTGGCAGTGGGTGGCAGTGGAGGCTCTGTCAGCCCCGAAGGGCCCTGACGAGAGTGGGACCACGGCGGAATGATGGGCAGGTGAGCGGGCGGCGCCAGGCCAAGGAGGGTGCAAGCGGGGGCCTAATCACCCCACCAATCACCCCGGAGATGGTAACCAGCGGTGGTGGTGGGGAGAGGACCACCCTGGCTCCCAGGCGCTGAGGGAGCTGGGTGGGGGACCCAGCCCCGATCAATTGCCCCACAGGCAGGATGGTGGAACAGGTGAGAGGGCGGCGCCAGGCCACAGCAGGGTGCCAGGTGGGGCTGCGGGGCTGCAAGGCTGGGGGCGCGAGCTGGAGCTGTGAGCCTGGGGGCACGAGCTAAAGCCCGATGCCCGAAGGCCACAAGGAGGGACCCCACTTTGCACAAATTCATGCACTAGGCCTCTAGTCCTATATAATAAAAGGCTAATATGCAAATAGACCACATGATGGAACTAAACAACCAAACAACCGGTCGCTTGATGTGCACTGACCACCAGGGGCGTGCGCAGAACATGACAGGCATCAGCAGCAGGCGGCAGAGTGCAGAACATGGCGGGTGTCGGCTGGGTGGGATGGTGGAGCAGATGAGCGGGGACGTCAGACCAAGGCGGGGCACCAGTCACTGTCATTGGGGCGAGCCTCTGATGGTTAATGAAAATTCTTTGCTCCCACACACCACGGTCCCGTCCAGCACTCACACCTGCTGCCGATGCTGACCCCGCTCGCACCCGCTGCCAGTGACAGCCCCGCTCGCACCTGTTGCCAGCCCCAGAGCCGCCACTCACACCCACTGCTGGTGCCGGCTCCACTCGCACCCGCTGCCAGAGCCCAGGGCCGGTACCAATCGCTTGGCTCCATCAGTGGGTGCGAGCGGCAGCGCAAGCCCTGATTGCCCCTGAGGGCTTCTCCACCTCCCCCTGCTCCTGGAGGGGCGAGCTAATGACCAATATGCTTATGAAAAAAAGATTCATAAGGAGCAGGGAAAGGTGGAGAAGTCCTCAAGGGTGACCAGGGCTGCATCT